GTTAATTGTCATTTGATTCAATTTCGTTATAGGTTTTAGAGATATACAAAGAGTGCAAATTACCTGTAAAAAGTACATATTTAGTAATAATTAAGCTATTACCTTTTAATAATTGTCATTAAAGATTATTTTTGATGTGGCAAACTTGATGACCAAGAAATGATGAGAAAGGCTAATGCTTTTTGACAAATGTTGGTTGTTCCTCCTACCGTTTGCAACTGGGGGCAGACCCACGTGTGTTCCAGGGGGTTCACCAAAATCTCTTCAATAAAAAATTACATTGTTTATATAAGGTAAATTTTTTGTGTTTATGTAGATATATTAATTTTAAACCCCCTCATAAATATGAAGTAAGTTGTAGCATAGTGGTAGATCTCCTCTAGGTTGACCCTAGTGTCTAGAGTTGAAGCCCCATTGTAAACATTTTATTTTTTTAGCTTCTCTTCTTTTAGTTTCAGGACCAATCTTTCACCTTTTTTTGTAATAAAAAAAAGTGTTAATAGAGTAGATTTAAATCACAAAAAATCCAAATGTGCTAAAACTTCTCCTCTAACGGACTTAACTTTTTATACCTATAAACTGTAGACTACTACTTCCTTAGAATTGTGTTTTATTGGCTTATTTATATTTTTATTTTTCGAACCCCTGAATAAAAATCCTCGATCCGCCATTGTTTGCAACAAAAGCAGATTGGACAAATATTCGAGGAACTACTTTTACTAAAATAATTTTGGATTATAATAGTATTAGTATTATACCTTGCAGAAGAGAACTGCATGATGCAAATAATGCCCATTTACTTTGTATATGTTTGTTATTTATTTCTAATGCAGCTTTCAGTAAAGAAGGGAAAATTAAAGAAAATGTTCAGTGAGTTAAAATTCTTTATCCAAAATTATTGCTTATTATTCATGCGTTAAACTTAAAAACCTAATTAATGTGTCTTCTTGGATATAAAATTTGATAATTTAAACCACTTGTAAATTGACCTAGGTCTATTATATAAAGTTCAGAACGTAACGAGTAGAAATCTAGAAACATGCATTATTTACGCCATTTGGACACCCACAACACCTTTTTTCTACTCCTCTATTTTATTCTATTTGGCAATTAGCTCGTTGAGAAATATGAATTGTTTAATGTATAAATATTATATAAATAATATATATAAATGTATATATATCTTAAATATATAATTATACATCATATATATCTGAATATATATTATTTTGTATAATATTAATACATTGCATATACATATGATCATTCTAGTTGAAATTATTTTTATCGTTGGTACAATTACGTAAAAACCCCCCCAAAAAAAAGAACATGGTTTTACAAAATAATAAATTTTATTTATTTTCCTTCTTTTCTAATTTTTTTCCACTCTTTTCTGGAAGGAAACATTAATAGTAAGTCTATAGCCCCCACCCCCACCCCGACCGACATACACAACACAGAAAGGGCAATAATAGATGAATCTAATTATGGGACTTTATATTTAACTGGGGTCTAAATGTCACAAAAAGTTTGATCAAAGTTAAAAAGGATAATTCCATGTTGTGCTTCTTTTTTGCAAGTTGCAAAAGGTGTTGTTCTTGTAATACTACTAACTCATCTCTTGTGATTTACCAAAGTTGAGTAGTCTACATTGCAATGAACATCAATCAGAATCATTGGATATTTTCATGGATGCGAATCTCCCCAACTGGTGGAGCTATACTTACTTTTATAACAAGGGCCCTCATTAACTTTGATATATATAGGAAATATTAATTTCTGAGATGCCTCCCATAAGCAAAGATTATCCTTATATTAATCATTTTCACTAGTAATTAAATACAACTTAACGCATATATATAAGGTTAATTCTCATCGCATATGGGATACTATATGCAATAAGAATGTGTCGTCAAGGCTTACGCGTAAATTCTACAAAGTGATAATTAGATAAATGTAGTGGAGATGAGGATGTCAGATGGATGTGTGAGCATATTAGGAGAGATATGATTAGGAACGATGTTATATGGGGCAAGTTGGGGGTGCTTCACCCTTAACCAGAGGTCTTGGGTTGGGTATAGACAAAATCTTGTTGGGAGCGCCACTCCCGAATGGGCCCTGCAGTGTGCGATCCGAATTTAGTCGGGGCTCCAATGTGGGTTCCGGACACCGGGTGGAAAACCAAAAAAAAAAAGTTGGGAGTGACTTTTGTGATGAACAAGATGAGGGAAGTGAGATGAAGATGCTTCGGACATGTGAAGAGAAGATGTGTGGATACTGGAAGGGTTTGAGGGTTGATTGTAGCAGAATTTAGTAGAGATACGTATGTATTCAAATGATTTACATGGATAGAGTTAATTACAATGAGCTTTAAGAATTAACAAGAAACGTTACCCATGCTACGTTGTTGTTCACTACACCAGATACCAAAAGGTTAGGATGATGATCATCATAAATTTTGATGAATCGCTAAATTATCTCTAAAACAAGTGAAGTTTAAAGTTTCATATCACATGCCTCCAAAAATATTCTTATATGGTAACTCTTTCAGAACGACAGGCACCTTAAGAAACTCTTACTTTAGATCTCTTGACTTGTTCATATCAATCCAAATAAACTTTGATCTGACTATTTATTAATTTCAGCACATTTGTCACCACTTTGGGAATATTCTAGCGGCCTAATCTGCTTTGATTGCATTGACTCCCCAAGATTTGATGGCTGCAAAAGAAATATTTTACCTTATCAATCCATTCACTTCCAAAAATACAACGCACACCATTTGAAAACATACTTTCTTTGTTTCAATTTGTTTGTGATGATTTTTTTTTTAAAAAAAAAAATATTCTTGTAATCTGTAGTAAAATATTATTTAATCTTCTAACTTTAAACATGAAATATGAAAAGTTGAAATTTAAAAAGAAATTGTCAATAATATAATTAAAGAAAGAAACATATTTTTAGAAACGGACTAAAAAAATGAAACAAATAAATTTAAACGAAAGAAATGTGAAAACAAATAAATAGCATTTCGATTGCCATTTCGTGAAATGTGAAACAAATAAATTTAAACATGAAATGTGAAAAGTTAGAAATTGTAATTATAGTATAAAATTCTTTGTTTGCCATTTCGTGATTCTCTTGATAGGAAATTTAGCGTAGGAATAAATAGCAGAAATCACGCGGTAACAATAGTAATTAAGACTCTTGCGTGGAACCTAATGTTGTGGATTCCAAAAGGGTTGATTCTGAAATTAGTGGAAATTAAAGCAGCAGCCTGCAAAAGCGATATGCAGGATCAAACTCAGTCAACTTGCCCAAATTGCATCTTTTTTCCTAAATTCAGACCAAGGATTTCTTATCTACTTTTTTTTAATTTTTGGGAGGAAAATTCACCGTTACTATTTTTTGAATGTGTCTGCTTTTATGCAATAGTTCACAAATTATTAGTAGATATAACCACACTGATAATTTGATGTGACGAGTTTGACTTAGAAAGTGACCAAGTGGCGGATATTCCCCAGCACCCCTTTTCGAGATAGCACACTCGTTGCATTGAATTCCACCGATTGAAAAAGGATCACATAGAACTCGATCCCTTGTCTCCCCAAGGAGTTACCCTAGTTGTTTACCCCCAAAAAAGTAATGCGATGAATAAACTATTTTGAATTAGACCTAAGACTTAATTTAACATCATTCTTTCTTTTGAGTGCATTGGCCTTGGTGTGGACTGTGGTTTCATTACTTCGAGGTGGATTGTGCCAACTTCCTCTTGTATAAAACTACTCCTTACTTGATCTTCCACGTGTAGGTCTATCTTGACCACGCATCTTGTATATTTTTGCCTTTACACTTGTTATATCAACTCGGTTATTCTTTTGATTTTTTTTCTTATGTACATTGATAGTGCAAAAACTATTACTTTTTCATTCCTTTAGTTTGGCTTAGTTCTGAGTTTGACTTTTTGAAATTTATAGTCTAAAATAAGGTATAGATCATTTTATTAAAAATAAAAGTTTTTGTGACTATAAATTATTTCATTAAGAATAAAATAAGTATTTTAAAATTAAATTGTTATTAAATATAAAAAAAATGTCATTTTTTTCATATAAAGGACAAAGAGAGTAATAATTATTTTAACAAGTTGTATCGGGTAAATTTTTCATATTATCAATTTCACTTTTTATGTATCGATATTTACCTTTTGAGTGTCCTGGTAATTCTTTTACACGATCTATGTATAACAGTTAAACTCAATAAAGGTAGTAGCAACATGATCTCCCTCCAGTTCCAATCAGATCCTCTGGAATTTGATGTTGTGCAAAGTGATATGTATTAAAGATAGGGTGAATGATTTGGACTGACCTCTGCTTCCAAGTTACATGTCTAATGTTTTAAGAAATGGAGGAAAAAGGGTCTTTGTACATACACAAGTCACAACACAGGTCAAGAGGTCCCATTTTGCCTTTAGTATTAAGAAAATAAACAAAACAAAAAGACAAAAGTTGCTGCACTACTCTAAAAGCGATACTATTATTAGCTAGTGGAAAACCTCGCGCCGAAGTAATCGTCACACAGTTTCAATATGTAAGAATTCTATGCAATTTTTTGGGAAGGAAAAGGAAACAAAGCTTTATATTATACTTTTGTGTTTGGCCATGAAAAGAAACAAAAATCGTATAACAACCCAAAGATTATATTTGATTATGTACATAAAATGAGCGTAACAAAACAATTTTTGCAATTAAGTTTTATCTATCTTCAAGTAAGTTGAGTTCTAAGACGTAAGTTTTATTTGAACGAATTTGAGATTTAATCTTAACATGTTCAAAATTATGAATTCTTTAAAAAGAGGGATTCAAAATTTAATACTACTACTTTTCAGGATTGTTTACGTAATGTTAAAAATAATGGGTTCACTACTAACTTGATCAAAAGGACACTTAGTTGAAGATTTTTCATTTTAAGTCTGAAAGAGTGACAACATACAAATTAGACCAAACTAAACTTGAGTTACATTAATTAATAATTTAATAGCAAGATTACAAATTAAAACAGAATCCAGTACATTTTTCAACCCCATATCTGATATCTTGTTGATTGGAACTGGAGCTGTGAGTCGTCAGCTCCATGTTCATCCCAAGACTGTGAAGCAATCTCATATGGGTAGGTGACAAATGATGATCCAAAATCCATCAGATCTTCATGATCATTTGATAAGTTGGCATTCCAGCAGTTCACAATATCTGTTGTAGCTGTAAATTTCTGGAAAGAGGAACTGGTTTCTGCATATAACTTTTCTTTAGAAAAGGAATTGATGTTATATACTAGGTTGTTTGGGGACGCGGAGTCCGCGGTGATATGGACAGTCGTAATGTCATGAATACTAGGCCTCCTCTTATCTTTGCCTCCTCCTGATATCTGTCTCTGATAGTATTTCTGAGCATGACTAGCTACTTGAGTTGGAGTTCTTGAAATTACCATTTTCTTCGATATGTTCCTCCAATCCCCTTTTCCATACTTCTCAAGTCCCATCAGAAATCTCCTATACCAAAAATAATTTTTGGATTCAAGATTTTTCTTCAAAAAATTATAATGTAAAAAATAATGAATCGAAACATTGGACGTTCTGGTGCATTTTCAAAATTTATCGAAAATCTAATACAGTGTAATCGGGTGTGAGATAACACCCTCCCGTTCCCTTAGATCCCCCCCTGTCTATTAACAGCAACAAATATTAAAAGGAAAAAGAAAAAACAGAGTATGAATAGATCTAGGATGCACCTGTGTTCTTCTTCAGTCCATGGTACACCTTTTTTTCTTTCTTGATCAGATGATTTACTCCCTCTTTTTCTAAATGTTTGTAATCCACAATGATCAACCAATTCCAAGGTAATCGAAGAGGCGAAATAACCAGGATTTGGAACCAATCCAGCTTCAATATCTGAAACATCAGAAACAAGTGCTTTATATTGATTCATTACATCAATAACTGACTTTCCAGGGATGAGGGCAGCCACTTTAAACCATCTATCAGGAGTTTTCTCATCATATATTGCAATAGCACTTTCAAATTGCTTGTTCTCTTCTTTAGTCCATTCTCTCTTCTCGTTTATCCAACTTGAATTTGGTAAAAAAGAAGTAGAAAATAAAGTTTCCATTTCACAAACAAGTGGTGTGCTAGGTTAGTACTATAATGATAAGATTTTTGTGATTCCCCCAAAGATAGTTATAATTAATTGATCAGAATCATATACTGGGAATAAGAATACCCTTTTTTGAACACAGAATATTGGATTAGAGAAAGAGGCTACTACTTTTCAGAATCAAAAAAATGAAGTTTGAGAAAGGTGATCAATGTACAGTGGCAACGGATTTTTGATGTATCAATGAATAGGCTTTGTATTATATGAAATGAAATGATGAGTGGAACAAAAACTCATAATAAAAAGGAGACATCGATCGGGAGATGGGTCCACCAGTCGTAAGATTAGATATGTGTAACACTACATGCTACACGTTTCTATTTTTAATCATAAATATCAGCAACGTTAGTGCATGAGGTTTAAAAAGATAATCCCTCCGTCTTTTTTATCTTCTTTTAATTTGACACGGAATTTTAAAAAAATAAATAAATTATGTGGTCTTAACTAAAATACTTTCTTCGTTAACTTTTACTTATCATATTTGAACTTAATATTTTAATTAAAAAAATAATGATTAGCACGACGAGTTTACCACACTATATCGCTATTAATTGATATTTAGTTTTAGATCTTGAAAAATGTTTTAAGGAATAAGTAATTAGTGTTAAGGGTAAAACATAGAAAAAGTAACAAGTAAAAGTATAAAAATCTATTTTTGATATAGTGGACAAGTAAAAGTGAATAGATAGAGTATCTAAATGTACCATAATATTACTTAATATTTAATTTTATGATCTTAAACATATCATATAAAAAGTTGAAATAAAAAAAAATACATTCTTTTTAAATAATTTGTTTTTTTTAAAAAAAAAGTAAAAAGGCAATTGAAATGAAGGGATGAATACCATTTTATGTTAGCATAAAGGACCTCTATAGATCATGCTATCTCTTCCTTTACCTTCTTATATAGAATAGAAGGTGTTATCTCTCATGTAACTTGTTTCAACAATCCAGAGTAGATTGTCTTTGAATTTGATCAATTGAATTCCTCCCAAGTAAATCAATAATGATTGTCGTTACATTCTTTTGTTTTTTTAACAATTTCGTTCAATTTTTTTACTTGAAATGCAAATAAGAAAAACGTATAAGCAAAAGGTGAAATAGCTTATATTTGAATTTAATTAAGTATATATACATGTTGCACCCTTTTATCTTTTGGCATAGAGCTCTTTTATTTTAGATTACTTTGATTAAGATTTTTATATCATTAATAATAAAGGGTATTGTCGATCAGAATGTAAATTCTAATACTTTAGACTGAGGTCCAATTTTCTTTAATATAACTTACTGGATGATGATGTCCATCTTGTTTAAGGATTTGTATTTTTTATTTTTATTTTTTGTCCTATCTTATAGGAAAGTATTAACTAATTGGGAAGTGAAACAACATCTTTTTTTACCATAATTTTTTTATTTTTTAAGATTATAAGTTGTGTTGATTTGTAATATTTTTGTGTAGTTTTGAATATATAAATTTTATATTAAAAAATATATATCTGAATTCGTAATCAAAATAAAGTCTTTAAATTCTTATACTTTGAATAGTTTTAAGGGAAAAGGGTTAAAAATGCCCTTAACGTATCTCAAATGGTTCAGAAATGCCCTCCTTCCACCTTTTGGTTTAAAAATGCCCTCAACGTTTTTTTAAGGTTCAAAATTGCCCTTTATTAACAGCCCACTAACATAATAAATGATGACTCATTTAATTAGCCAAGTGACTTTATCTTATTGGTCCACCTAATTTTTAAAATCCAGCCCAACGACCCGACCCATCTGTGCTACAAAAATTTAAACCCACCCAAAAACCCATTTTCATATTAACCTATCTTATCTTTGAGCTCCATTTTAGGACGACTCTCAACCTCTTTTGTAGCATCCGACGATGGCGATTGAGGGTTGCAAATCACAACACCTCTAGTTATGTTCTTCAGATAATACTTTTTTGTTTCTTCAATCTTTTACACAGTTGATTCCAGTACTCTGCAACTTAGGTAATGTTTTGCTTTTTTAGGAGTTTGATTAGGAGTTTGTAGAGGTGGGTTTACAGCAGAATCTTGATATTGATCAGTTTCAGATTTCTGTTGGAATTATGAGATGTTTTTGCTTGAGAATTGTTGAAATTCAGGTCAATTATTGACTTTTGATGAGCTTTTCTGCTCTGGATCGGTTTGTTCCTAAGCTTTCAAGGCATTTTCTGAAGATATGTAGGGGGATTCTATTAAAGATGTCTGTAAATTGCAAATTGTTGGGCACGAATTAGAGCTTCTCTTCAAGTTTTAGGCTGAAGAAGGCCAGAGAGTCTTCGCTAGGACCAAATTGTGGGTGGAGATGGGAAATGAAGCTTTTGTTTTTATGGCTCATTTTCTTTGGAATTGGATTTTTTGGTTGGTCATTAGCTTGAATGGTGGTGTTTATAGTTGGAAGCAGGAGGCTTCAGAACCAAATGAAGATAAATCTTATTTTCTTCTTGAACGTTTCAATGTCAGCAAGGAACAAATTCAAGATTTAGCTAACCTTATTCTTTGTAGTTCTTCCTTCCTTTTCTTCTTGAAATTAACTGAAGGAGGTAGGAAGAAAGAAGAGAGTTAGAACAAATGGAAACAAAAGATCCAAAATTAATCGGTCATATCGGGTCAGATTTGAAATGGATTTCTAGATTAAGTGGGTCATATATTTTGAAATAGGTAAAGAAAATCCATGTCACAATTGCCATGTCATTGTTCTGTTAATAAAGGGCAATTTTGAACCTTAAAAAAACGTTGAGGGCATTTTTAAACCAAAAGGTGGAAGGAGGGCATTTTTGAACCATTTGAGATACGTTAAGGGCATTTTTAACCCTTTTCCCTAGTTTTAATAAATTGAGAAGAGAGCACGTAAAAATAACAATGTTCTTATATTATCTTAATTATATGTATTTGAATAGGATTTCTTTAGAAAAAATTGAAGCGATACTCGCTTAAGGTGGGTGCTTGGGTGGGATAGCATTTTGAAATGAGATAATTACACGAAGTGGTTGCTGAAAAATTAAAAATAATATATTTAGGTCCAATTTATTGTATATCATCATTTATTCGGTTTATTATTTAATAAAGACAATTAAATATCAAAAGGTATACAATCTTATGATCTCATAGTATTTCAGCCACTTTTTCCTAATTTTTCCTTATCCCACGCTTATTCCTTGTTTTTTCCTTCGTTAAATTCATTATCTCATATTCCAATCTGTATGGCATGACATTCTCTTGAAGGATTTTAAGAGAAGAGTTACAAATTAAAAAATAACTTATTATAAATATTGTGTTGTAGTCACTATCTTGAAAGCAAAATCATTATAGTCTATCGCTTGATTCCATGGTTACATTCAAACACGTGATTGAAAGTTTGGAGGCTGCCCAAAATCAATTGCGCAAAAAAATATTCAAGGAAGAAGAAACGAGGAAGATGTTTTTTTTTTCCTTTTGATTGGTATATCTTATGTTCATCAAAGACACTTCTTATATATGATATTGCAAGAGGAGTTATTATAAAGATAAGAGTTAATTTGAAAAATGAATGGTGACTGTTAATGCTATTAACATCACATTTTGCAGAAACTCTTTTTTTGTTTTGAAATGGATATGTTCTTCTCTTTGTAACGTATTTTTCTTTGTATTGTTTACATTATACAAAATGAATAGAGGTAGAATTAATTTCACAATTATCACACTGAATATCAACCCAATCTCGATAAGAATCAATATGCTACACTTGAGCAGATCCTGAAGATCATGAGACTTTATTTTTTGGCTATTTTCGTCGATTCTACACCCTCTAATCAGCAATAGAAGTCTCTACCTTATAACCTTTTTGAAAAAAGTCCTCACATTTGCGCAAGACCTTGGTCAAATTTATAGTCGCGAAGATAAAGAGCTATAACCTAAACTCGTTATCAAAACAAACCTCTTCGGTATCAAAATAAGTAGCGAAGCTAGAAATTTAAACAAACTTCTTCCGTATCAAAATAAGTAGCGAAGCTAGAAATTTTATCAAGGGCGTTTGAAAAAAATATTGTGTTATTTGAGGTTTGAACCTAATATATAGTTCTTGATTCAAATGGATACCCATTACCACTGTGTCAAAGTTGTAGCTTTTGTTAAGGGTGCTTATGTTCCTCATTTCAACAGAATGTGCCCTTTGAGGTGGTTGTGAGATAAATTCAACAGCAGAAGTAGTGAATTTAGGGATTTCTCCTTCAAACTCATTCCTCATAGATGTTATCTAGAATATGATATCCCTCAAAACTATTTTCTACTTTCATATAATATTCCAGCTTTGATTTGTGCACGTCCATGTTCATCATTGCTTTGAAGCCGTTTGGAAGGTAAAGATCCACTAAATGAATTTAATTTCCGAAGAGATAAAAAATGTTAACATTCATGGTTGTGAATGTTCTAGAGACAAAGCAAAGAAAAAAGAAGAAGCTGAAAGAGAATCTCAATTCACATACATTCCAACTTAATGAATCAGTTACGCATCAATAGTATTTATACAATCTGAATTAAGCTTCAATTAGTAAACCTCTTAGTTGTCACTCTAACTAACTAGCTAACTAACTTCTAGCCACTTCTTAACAGCTTGAGTTACTACAAACTCATCTGTGGTTACATCAACTTGCCTCTTGGTTTAACACCCCCTCTCCAGTTGATGGTTGAAACAGGTTCTTAAGTCCAATTTTACTTACTAAATATTCATGTTGAGATCTTCCCAAGCCTTTTGTAAGTATGTCTGCCAGTTGCTCTTCTGTTGATACATGATTAGTTCTAATCATGCCTTGAGTGATTCTTTCTCTTTACAAAGTGACAATCAATGTCAATATGTTTAGTTCTTTCATGAAATATAGGATTTGTTGCTATTTGAATTGCAGCTTTACTATCACACATTAGGTCTATAGGTTGTTTAATATGCACTCCCAATTCTC